ATAATAAAGTTTATAAAATATGTTTTTAAGAATATATTTCATAAGCAAAGTATACCTTATATCATTAATAAATTATTATTTTATTTAAAAAATACTAAATACAATTTAATTTTTCAGGCAAATTTGCTTGAAATACAGTTTAAGGAATATATTTATATTTTTAAAATTTTTTTTGATAAGTTGTATTGCCAAATTGTACTTAAAAAATCTATTTACAATAATAATGCGCTTTTATTTGACCAGATTAATGTATTGATGTTTATAATTTTAAATTTTATATATCAAATTAAAAGATTTACAGTATTTAATCAGGCTTAAACTTCATTTATATTTTTATAAATATGTTCCAAAACGAAGCCTATAAGTAAAACAATAAATTTTTATAATACAAAATTTAAGCCTTGAAACAATATGATAATATGTATCCTAGTTAATATTAAATATATAGCGCATATGGCCAAAATGTTAAGATAATCGAAATGACTAGAATATTGATCTTATAGTTTCTTGGAAGTTAGTTTGGTATAGTAAAAATTTCACTTTGCAGTGCTTAAACTTATAACTGCGGTTTCGTATTGTTTCATATTAGTCACATATTTGCAATAGTCACATGAAATTTCTGATTATATTGCGGGTGTCGACTGTATATCAAATTTAGAACCTAATAAACCAACTGGCAGTGTCTAAAAGATTTATTTCTGAAATGTATTTATTATGCTTGTCACATTTCAATAATTATCAAATGTGTCAAATCCGCTTATATAAAAGTTTTACTAATTTTTTTTTTTTTTAAAAAAAAAAAAGTTTTACTAATGAAGTTATGGCGTAGAGCTGCCCAGCTGATAATTTTGGCCCAGAAATGGTTAACTTGTATTGCTAAATGCCGTCTGAAAATAAAATTTCGTATCACATGACTAAAATTCAATCAATACATGTTTATATAATACGCGATTTTTGTAAACAAATCAATAATACTGTAATAATACGGCATTAATTTTGTTTACGCAACGAACACTTTCTTTGACATTTATACAAAAATTGCGTTCAAACTTTAAAACCTGCAGACAATTCTCTTTTTTTCAAAATGGATAACGTATCATTTAATGGCGAAATTGCTGGAGCCGAAAGGGCAAAAAAACGAAGGAGAAGTAATGAACATTCTGCAAAAGAAGGGGAAAAAGCAATTAATATTCAAGTTGTTGTGCGTTGCCGCGCAAGAATTGAACGTGAAGTCGCAGCAAACTCGCCAATTGTTGTTCAAGCTACTCCCCGTGAGATTAAAGTTTGGGCTAATCCTCAGGACATGATGCCGTATAAAACCTTTACCTTCGATAAGGTTTTTGGGGCAGACGCGGATCAGAGCCGAATATTCGATACCATAGTAATTCCTATATTACATGAAGTTAAAGCTGGATATAACTGTACTCTGTTCGCATATGGTCAAACTTCGACTGGCAAGACTTTCACAATGGAAGGAAAGCTTGACCTCCACAATGGAAGTATTAGTCCTGATGCCGGTGTTATTCCACGTTCCCTATATTATATATTTGATACTTTGGAAGCTGAACAAGCTGATTTTTCGGTTAAAATATCTTATATTGAACTATACAATGAAGAGTTAAAAGACTTGCTTTCTTCAGATAGTGATAACCGACAATTAAAAATTCTGGATGATGCAAATAGAAAATGTGTCCTCCACGGCCACGAAGAAGTACTTATAAAAAGCGCTGAAGATGGAATAAATGTTCTGAAACAAGGCTCAATAAAACGTCAAGTTGCTCAGACCAATTATAACAAGAATTCTAGTCGATCTCACTCTGTATTCTGTATTACACTTCATATTAAAGAAACAATGCCTGATGGTGAGGACCTATTAAAAGTCGGAAAAATCAATTTAGTAGATTTGGCGGGATCTGAAAATATTAGTCGAACTGGCGCTGAAAATCTTCGTGCGAAAGAAGCCGGAAAGATCAATAAAAGCTTGTTAACGCTAGGACGATGTATTAATAGTCTCAATGAACATAATCAACACATTCCATATAGGGAAAGCAAGTTGACACGTCTCCTGCAAGATTCACTTGGTGGTCATACCAAAACTTGTATAATCGCGACAATCTCTCCAGCTAAATTAAGTTACGAGGAAACGATATCTACACTAGATTATGCTCAGCGTGCGAAGAATATTCTTAACAAGCCTGTTGCAAATCAACGTGTCACTAAAAAAGCTTTGATTAAAGAATACATAGGTGAGATCGAACGTTTGAGAGCTGATCTATTGGCTGCCCGAGAGAAGAATGGAATATACTTGTCACAAGATACTTATCAAAATTTAGTGGATGAAAATCAAAGTCGAAAAGATGAAAACGATGAATTGAAAAAGTTAAATGAAGGTCTAAAGGAACAAGCCGAAAGATTTGAACGAGAAAATTCTATCATTAATAGAAAACTTTTGCGTCAAACTTCCATTAATAACCATCATCAAAAGGTGTTCCAAGAATTTCAGAAAATGATGTTATCTGTAACATCACAACTAGAATATAAATTTAATGAAATAAAGACTGTACACCTTGGATTTGGGGAGTTGATATATAACAAGATGAAGGAATTTATGGAACGACGCGAAAATGAAATTTCGGCCACTATTAAATGTATCGAAGAACGTATGGATCGATCTATACAACAAAAAGATCAAATTATTCAAATATTTGATAACCAAGAGCGGATTTCCATTAATTTGAGTGCTGAATTATTAAAATTCCGGGAAGAAACTCAAAAGCTTATAGATCAAAAAGGCCAGGAATTACGAAATAGTTCATCTGCGACGTTCAATACATTTCAGCACGAATTGTCAAATCAATTCGAAAAGATACGGTCGTATCAAGTAAAGCTCGGGGAAGACTTATCTTGCTTGATGAAAGCCACGCAAGAGCATATTGCGTCCCAAAATCAAGCAATCACTTCTTTTCGTAGTTTCACTCATGAATCATCCAATTCTCAAATAGATTGTATGATAGAACAAAAACATCTTCTGGCGCAGCTCGCAGAGGAAGATGTTTTGTTGAGAAAATCAATGGAGGAAGAAATTTTAACTAATGTGCTAGAAACACTTAAAAGATATGGTGATGCACATTCGTCAAAAATCAAAAATGTTATTAGTACCGTCCAAGATACAATTCAAAGGAACGTTGATTCTGTTAAATCATTCAGTGAAGCGTGTGCTAATGTTGCCGATGGCATGAATACAGCGAATACTTCTTATTTGACCAACTTTAATAATAAATATGATGTTTCCAAAGAAGACCTGTTAGCTTTAGAAAATGAAAACCGGCTAGCACGCGTCGATACCATCGAAGACAGCATATATACTAAATTGGATGAATGCAAAGATGCGTTTGAATCAAAGATAATATCGTTAGATACATTTGCAAGTGCTGCTGTTAAAGAGACATCGGAACTACAAAAACAATATGCTCAGTCCTTCAATTCGTTTGCTACGGATGTAACTCAAGGTTATTCCGAATTCCAGAGCCAATTCATCAGAACACGAGTAGATTCGGAAAACATGACAAAGAATGTATTTGATTTGAATCAAGCTAATGTGAACGCGACTAGTGGTTTATATATCAATTTTGCTAACCAAGTTCAACGGTCTCGTGAAGAAACCAATTCACTATCAGAAAAATTTAACGATTCTGACACCAAAATCAGAACTCCTACAACAAAACGTACTCATTTTCTCAACATTACAAATCTTCCATGAATGTAACTTTTTACAAATAAATAATATTTTTATAACAATTTCAAATGTAATCTCGTGTTTACTTAATGGTTCAATTTAATTTTTAAACTTGCAATATCTAGAATAAATAATGAACATTAAATCATCATTAGAATATTAGGGTGGAATCGAATTGTTGCTTACTTACTATATTGGATTTATGATCGAGGATTCTTTGTTTCCAATTATTTTTAGATACCCTAATTTTAATAATTTTTCGATAGTAGGATCGGTTTTCCTAACAATCGCTTGAGTTCCTTTCCGAAATTCGACATATCCATTTTGTGTCATTAAATCACCTAAATCTTACAATTAGTAAAGATAATAATAACATATCCAAAAAATTTAAAAATGATAAATACGGTACCGATATCCTTAAGCACCCGAACAGCAGTCAGAGCTTCTTTGGGGGGCACTAAAGTGGCAGACAAATTAAGCGAAGGTGGATATTCACATTTATATTTTCTCAACAAATCGCTATATTTTGAATGAAAAATTCTTTCTCTTTCGGATAATTTTAATCTCGTTTCTTGAGATAGTGGTAATTCTTGAATTGCAAAGAATTTGACTTTTTCGGATCTTTGGGAATGATAAAGTTTTAAAACTTTTAAATTGTGATTTTGAACGAGTTGAATTAACAACTTTGTTTCTATAATTCAAGGAATTAAAGTTTGGGAAATATTATAAGAAATAATCTTTATCAGGAATAGAATTTAAAATATTTAATTACCATCGTCAGGATTATTTAGGTCGTCGAGACTTTGATTGTTTAAAGATTGATCTTGTAAAATGCTTATTTCATCAAGAATTTCACGAACTTTATCTCCTTCATAAAGTGAAACATTTTGAGTTTTCCTTGTACGCTTTGCTGTATCGATCAATGGAACTGCGGTTTCACCGAACATTTTTACGAGACTTTGAGAATATATTGACGCGATATGTTATCTAAATATAAAACGCGTTATATTATCGTCATTCACAAACGTTTCTGTCACGTGATTGTTTTTGTGGAGCTTGACAAAAACACCTGATCTTGGAATCTGATTCGCTTGCACGATACTGGGCGATAAGTAAATTTCACCCAATAAAAATTTCTAATCAAAAAATTTTTTCGAACTTATCTTTAGTAAGCATTTGAAGATTTCTACTTTGTCAAATTTTCAAATTTGCAAACAATTTATTTTTTTCTGCACAGAAAATGGCTGAGTTAATAGAAAAGAATGCAAATAAAGAGTTAACAGTAAATGAAGAGTTAATTTGGTGAGATTAATTTATAATATTTTGTAATAGTTATAATAGAACAATCACGTATCTATATATATAATTAGGCTTCTTATCAGAAACAATAATTCGTTTTTGGTAAAACGTAATGGCGCACAATTTACTTCCGAACCTAATAATTTGACAAACTTGAATTCTTTCAAATATTCAGGCCTTGCTTGTAATAAGGTATGCATAGTATCTGAATGTTTCGAATAATTGATGAAATATTATAAAAGCGCTTATATAATGCATAATTTAAAAAGACAATTGGTATAAGTCATTCGCCTGATAATAGAGGTGTGATTGTTTCCTCAAAAAAAGCCAAAGTTGCATTTTATAAGCCGGCAGAATCTACTCATAAAGTCACCCTTTCAAAGGGTACTCGTAGATCAGCCAGAAGTTTCACCAACGCTTTTACTCGTGCTGGATATCGCCCTGATCTGCGCAAGGTTTGGTAGAATTTTTTTTTTTAGACAAATGCTTAATCATCCACATTTTTATAATCGCCAAAGAAATATAAAATGAGAAGATGCTTGCAATCTTGCTAGAGCCCATTAGAAATTATTAATTATGAAAAATGGGTGTAAATTTTAAATTGCTATAATGAATGTTCCTGTGGATGATTATCGTATTTCGTCATTTGAAGTGATTCTATGATTTTCAAGTCCTGGAAACATAACTTGGATACGTATTCAATTTTCAATTTCATTACATATTTATAGGAGGCACTAGCTCGTATTTCGGCTATATATCAAACCCAGAAACCTGTTAAGGTTCATGCAAGGAAAACTAGCCGTCGTCATAATAGAAAACAAAAATGAGCCGACTATTTTTTTTTCAATAATATTGGTTTGTGCATAGCTCCTACCTTAGATCATATTAATAAAGTTGAAGTTTAGCACTTCCAATTATTTTTAAAATAATCGATCTGACTATAGTGTTCGTCAAATTTAATGAACAAAATGTAATACCAGTTGGCCCTCTTCCAGTTTTGATTCTGACAAGATCAGGTGCAACGTGACAATCAAAACAACCTTTTGCGCACTAACAAACAATTTTAGCTTTAGCATAACTCTGCCCATTAACCCTAACCCTTGACCCTAATTAAATAAACCAGCCTATCAAAACTGGTGAAAAAATATAGTAAAATATACATCGCAATAGCAAATTTATTAGACTTATAAATGTGTAACGGACGTCCTTTTTAATTTTTTGCACGTACTAAGATAAAATTCTGCTATTAATTAAATAATGTCCAGGAAATTAAAAAACCCGTTAATAGAAATCTAATAAATGTGATTTATTTGTATATGTCGTAAGTGGGTAAAAATTCCGAATTCCGTTTCCGCTTACAACATATACAGTTACTCGTTCGCGATTTGAACTTTATATATGTTTTTAATAATTTCTTCAATTAATGTCATTCGTAGATTAGAAAAAATGTCATTTTACAATAAAGCTTATGCTTAAATGCTAAATACATAAGACATTAGGTCTAATTACAAATATAGTGCAGGTGGCATAGTGAAGACCCAATTTTTTTTATTAATTTTGAAGAAATTGAAGAATCATGCATAACAAGTAGAATTTAAAACGATTAGTAATAATATCATGGCTTATTGGAGATAGTATTAGTATTATTGTATTCTAATTTTCATAAAAAGTTTTATGACTTTGTCATCTGCTATCACTGATGGTATCAATCAAGTAAATAAATGCGAGAAGCTATGTCACCGACAATCCAATCCATTCCACGGAGTAAATTTTCACCAGTGACTGCACTACAACTCTGAATTGCCCAGTGATGAGTTACAATTGAATTAAGGTCAAGTCCCTAAATGGATGAAGTTTTATAAACAAAATTTATAACATGATATGTTTTGGATGAAACTAGATCGTATAATACCTGACGAATCTGTAGATCAGTCAACGCGCCAGGGAGATCTTGCTTATTAGCGAAAACTAATAACGAAGCGCCGGCTAAACGCTAAGTTTGAAATGTCATTAATACTCTTGTTTCAATATATCGGCAATAAAGGCAGAGACTTTACCTCTTCTAGTAATAACGATTGCAATTCCTTCTTACAATCTTCTAGACGCATTCTATCAGCACTATCTACAACCCATATTACACCGTCAGTTTGTTCAAAATAATTGCGCCAATAAGATCTTATAGACTTTTGACCACCGACATCAAAAAAGTGTAATTTAAACCTTTGTATTCATGGACACATTAATTAATCGCGTCGATTTCTCAACTGAATAGTGTGCAAGTAAGATATAATACCCATTGTGTTCCAAAGTTTTGATGTTAAAACCCAAGGTTGGTGAAATCGTATCAATGTTTTCGCCATTTAAACGCTTTAAAATAGTTGTTTTTCCCGCGTTGTCTAGTCCGCTATAAGAGACATTTGAAAATTATAAAAGAAACTTAAGACTACATATAAATGATAGAACGTATAAATTACTTACAGCACAAGTATCCTTATTTCCTTTTCTTTCTGTCGAATTTTTCGTAAAATGGATAAAAGTCCCATCAGTGTCTAATCTGCAGATCCTAATTTATTAAATCGTGATTGGTCAATTCAAAGAATTGTAAAAAATAGAGAAAACACTTCATATGAATCTAGCAGTAATGTAATGTGACGCATAAAGAATGACCAATAGGAATGCATAAATTTTGATTGTCTTGAAGTCAAAAAAACCAGTGTTTAAATCGGTCTTTCAACTCATAGGAGGAAGTTCGTCTGATTGGCTAGTGTAAGGAAAGTGGCACTTATTACGTAAATATAACCCCCCTTAATTGACTGTGTTTCATACTCCAAAGTCTTTTTTTTTTTAATGTTAAAGTAAGTACATGTAATTCAGGATTTTATTGATAGTATGTTTTGATTAATAGCTGTTGTGTACAATAGTTACAAGGGCAACCATGAAAAGAGTATACAACTAATTATTTATACAATTTTAGTTATTGTCTAATTTAAGTAATCTGCTCAAAAGTTTTATATTATTTGTTATATCTAGAATCTGCTTATGAATTTTTTATTTAAACATTCTAGATTTTATATTTACCTTTACTTATATTAATGATTCTAGTAAAAATATATTATAGTTACAAAGTTATGTTTAACTTTGTACTAAATCTACTAGAGTCTTTTGTATTTTATATTTACAGTTGATCTGTTATTACTTTTTTTTTTTTTTTTTTTAATCTTAAGCAGTTATGCTAGTACTTTATTAAGATTTTTGAAACTATTTACAATTATAATTACATAGAATTTCCCAATACTTAAGCCTAGCATCACTCGGCCACCCTATTGGTACCTAAGTGCAACCTGTCACACTATCTCAGTTAGAGATAGACTGCTCGTCTAACTACTTAAAGCCATATCAGAAGGGTCTTTCCCTCTCTGTGACAAGCATATCAATTGTTTTCCAAGCTTTTTTCTTCATCTGATTCACTTTTTCCAATCTTCTCTCCTTTTCTTCTTCTTTTGGCATCTTATTCTTCTTTGTTCTTTTCTCTGTTCTTTTCCTAGTTCGAGCACATTTTTTCATTTTGCTTGTTATATTAACCTTCTTTTCCCATTCTTTTACTTTTTCACAATGGACTCTCCATACTTGGTCGTAAAATGTATTCCAAACTGTTCTTGTTACTATGTCTATGCATTTTTGTGTTGCCTGTCTGTTTAGGATTTGACTAATCCTTTTCCCAACCTTATTTGTTATTAACCCTTTTGCTAGAGCTGTTCTATTAGTAATTTTCACTGCTTCTGTTTTCCCAAATAATGCCTCGTATAGCATGTGAGGTGGAATTCTAACTCTTTCACTTTCTTTAAGACTGTTCTATACTGTTGCTGTTGCTACTTTTTGAATTCTCTTCCACAAGCTTTTTTGTCCGATGCAGCTTGCTAGGTGTGTTTGGGTTTCTTTTTCACCTCTTTGGCATACTTGGCAATCAGTTGTTGTATATATTTCTAGTCTTCTTCTATTTAATTCTTCTAGTATTGGTAGGCTGTCCATTATGCATTTAATTGCTGTAGCTCTTCTTGTATAAGTTTTCTCATTGTGCAATGTACACCTTTTGTTCTATTCATCTCTTTCCAAAAGCTTGACCAATTATATTGAGTGTTCTCAGTTTCTGGCTCCAGTGCTCGAATTGGATTTGTTTCTCTCCAATTAGCTCCGATTTTGGCATTTGTGACTATTTTACAAAGGAGTCTTGTTAGTATATCGACTTTCCTGTTTTCTCATTCTAAGTGGTACTCTATCTTGTCACATTTAATTCTCTCCGTAAATATTGTCCTTCCATATATTGCTCCTTTCTTTGCAAGTAGATCTGCTCTGTCATTCCATTTGTTATTGCTGTGACTTTTAATCTTAACTAATTCTATTCTATTGTTCCTGCTTTCAGTAGATTTACAATATTCATTATCTACATCATATTTTTCTTTTTTAGAATTTTGTCATCTCCTATTGCTTGGATTGCTCTATTAATGTGCCTTAATGCTGCAAGACTATCTGTATACACTTCTATATCTTTCCCCTCTGGTATTGTTAAAATTGCTAACCATATTGCTGCTAATCCCACTGTTGTTGCTGAGAGCCAACCTTCGAGTCTCAGTGTTATTTCTTCTTCTGGCCAGTTTTCTTTATTACTAACCTGCACCCAACCGATACCCATTTTTGCTAAACTATCTTTTCCTTTCTTTTTATATAATGCTCCATCTATGTAAAAAGTGTATTTGTTTTTGTTTCTTCTCTTGTTTCTTGATAGGGCTTCTATTATGATATCTTCAACTTTACTGTTAAATGCTTGTTTTTTGATTAATTCTGTCTCTAATTCTTCTACTTGTTTAAGTTCAATTAGCTCTCTTTCTTCCTTTCTCCATTCTTCTATTGTTCTGTTTTCT